TGAAAAATCAATTCACGTGTGAATAAATTCAGTTTGTATTTTCACGAACGTGATTAAAAAAAAAAAGAGGCGAACCTAGATCTACAATTAGTTCGATTTCGTAAATGTTAGCTCTTTGTTAAGTTCTGTACTTTGGACATTTTATGTATTTCAATATCTTAGAATAAAGAATATAGCACGAGTTTGTTACGACATAGTGTTGGAGTATTTCACTGATAACAATTTATGACAAATTTGATGCTCGTTGTGATCTTATATGCACTTCGTTCTTATCTAAATGCAAACACTTAGAAATGTCAATGTTTGACACTTGGACCTTGGAATATCAAAATTCTCGAGAGCTATAATTTGGTGAAATTTGATCGAAAAACTAGACTTACTTGCGTTAAATAAATAGTATTTTGAATCATAAAAATAACTACACGATAATCTTTTAATTAAATAAAAGTAATATATTCCATTCTGTTGAATGGCTAGCAAAAATTCACTTTTTCTTTTCATTCGTCGATTATAAATAAATCTTATGAAATTCCACAAAAATTAAACGTGTTGCTAATATTCCTTGGAATACAGTATAATCAACAACAAATGATTAATAACGTTGAGATAGTACCAGCAACGTCAAAGTGCCATCTCGACTTTGTGAAAGATCGATCGACGTACCTGTGCCTGTACTATATGTAAAGGTAAAGTTATATCGTAGAACGAATGGATGCTTTTACCTTTCCGGATGCATCTCTGACATTTTCAAATGGAATGCGAGTCATCTACTCATTTTTTGAAAAATGAAGAATCGGTACATACATGAGATTAAGGGGAATATTCGCGAGAAAGTTTTTAATTCGACTTCTACACTGGCAAGTGCAAGTATGTAACTCGACTGTAGATTTTTACGTCACATGTGAATCAGTTGACATTGCGATAACTTTCAGACAGTCCCAAAATGCATTCATGGTAGCTTCTATCCTTTGAGACAAGTTGTTTCAGATTAATTTGGAAACTTAACGAATCAAATTTACTACTTGATAGCTTTCTAATGTCAAAAATATTTTATACATTTTATTTGAAATATTATATATTAATGATTTAATATCTGTATGTATAGAACAGCTTAACATAAAAGCTCAATATTTTTCACTGTTTATTTAAATGTTCTCGACGAACGTACTAAATTACAATTAAATAAACATTGAATTATTTAATTACGTAAAGCCTATCGAATTAATAAATCCTCTCAATTTCTTATTCTCGTGGGAAATGATATTAAAACAGAAATGTCTTGAAAATCGACAAAGAGTCAACATGCTTCTCCGATCGTTTTCCCGATCGTCGCGTTTTTCGTATCGCGAATTACCGCAGCATCGACGAGATTGGGAAGAGAGGAGAGATCGCAAAGATAAAGAGGACGTCGAGATTCGTCGCATTGTGCCGCAAGGAAAATGCCGGTGTTAAAGTCACGCTGGCAGCGAACCTGAAGATCCTTATCCTGCGATCTACCCGCGCGAACCTTCGTTTAGCTGAGAATGCCGCCATTTTTTCGAAGCTTACGAATTGCCAGCGTGCCTGATCAAAAATAATAATAAATCGCGTTATTTAAAAATTAAAATCGAGAGCTCAATGTGAATAAGTGTTAAAATATTTGTCGTTTTTACGAAAGAATAATTATCACTGAAATTTACTTGAAAGTGACTTACAAAATGAAAAGTATGGTTTAAAAGTATTATATAATATTTAAAATCTTACAATATTAAACATTATATTGTTTTGTATTTAATATTCTTCTTTGAATACTAAAATAAGCAAAAAAATAGTAAATTTAATAATAAAGTATTATGTAATTGCTGTTTCGAATATCGAAGAATATTTGTATTTTGATTAATCTGAACGTTGGATGATATATGTCGTAAAATTATAGGATATTCTAGTAACGAAGTATGGACATATACATAATTAATTAATCAATTCACAGCTTGAAGCGACTCGAGTGTAAAATCGAGATGTCACTTCCTTTGTTTGACTGGATTTCGCGTATAACCCGAGTGACATTTCAACATGATACGTCGCGGCTGATAGAAAAGTGAAACCAACGTCTGCCACTCTTTTCTTCGAATCATTCTCAAAATTACGAGTAGAGCTTCATTTAGAAAAATCGTCTGCCTATATTCCGCTTGATTAACTGAGAAATACCTAAGTTACTTTACGAATATACACAATGAATCGTTTGAAGTATGTACTTGGTATCAATGTTCACCGTTGTATACCATCCAGTAAGATCTCACACAATTTTATATCACAACAATTAGATTGTAGATTTTCATGAAAATTCTTCTATATTTGAGGATATAATTTAGAAAATTGTATGACTTAAAAATTTGAACTCTGTGTAGTTTTGTCGTTTCAAATTTGCAAAGTAAAACTATAATTAATATTTTATTGTAGTCTTTGACTCTCTTAAATCATCACTCAAGTTTCTAAATTTCTTAAATTTCTAGTCAATAGAAGTATCTTAGTCTATTTTGTTCTTTCTTTTTCTATTTTTCTTTTTGTTCAAATCTTATTTCAACTGAAATCGTGTTTAAAGACGCTGCGACGCTTGAACAAGGTATCAAAGGTATGCACGGGAGGCAACAGTCGGACGTTTGCGTGTTATCACGATCCAAGAAGATCAGCGACTTCAGGGACTGTCGTTACGCCGGACAAACGAGGAACGAAATGACGCCCACGCTACAACGTGGCAAAAATACGTCCCTGGAGAGAATCGTTTCAGAAGAACCTGTCGAAGAATGTCGTGACTCGACGGATCACCTGAAAAAGTCACCTAATGGTGAACGAGCCAACGAGCGAATTGTCGAGGAACCGATAGACCTGACGAGAAAGACAAAGAACTTGGACGTCTCGAGAGGAATCGAAGGCACGATCGAAATGGAACGTACTCGGTCGTACGCGCAAATGATAGCCAGTTACAACGATGCGATGTACGAGCCGAATTGCTCAGGTGTCTTGAAGGACAATTCGAATTCGTCCATGATCAAAGGGATCCACAAAAGTCCCTTTACCACTGCGTCTTTAGTCTCTCCGAAGTGGAGGAACAAACCGAAAGGATCAAGAGATACGAACAGCTCAGCCAGCGGTCTAAACGAGACGTTCAATCGAGACGTTAAATTCAACAACGCGTCGTGCGCGACGCATATTCACTGTCGTTACGATGACGACAATCGAGACGATGACGTGATTGAGAACAACAACGAGGCTCAGAAGTCTCTGTCGTACGCGTCGATGATAGAAAGATACAGCAAGGCGATTGATCTTAGCTTGGTTGATAGTTGTGGCCGGCATGGTAATATGCTACCTAAACGATACGTGTCCACCAAGTTCGACGAAATTCCCATAATCCTAACGAGCGAGAAGGACGCGAATAAAAAGCCAAATGTGACTGCGGATGACGCGAAGGAGAAGGTCGGTGATGACCAAGCTGAAGTCGAGAAAAACGCGCAGAGTGAGGAAACGAAAATGGACGAAACAATAGAGGATCTGAAACGAATCACCGCGAAGGCGGACTCGGGCGACAAATGGATGCTGCAGTCGGCGTACGAGCCTGCTTATTGGCTGGACAGGGTGATGAACGCGCATAAGAAGAGGATCAAAAACAGAAGGGAGACGTTTGAAAAAACATCGGTCAAAGCTACTGCCAACGAACTCGCGAATCCTGACACAAAGCCTGATACGATCGTTCAGGCCGACGAAACTATATCAAACAGCGAAACTGAAAGTACTATGGCATCGCAGAGATCGTGGAGACACCATTCCACGAAACCACCAGCTTCGATTCCGCCAGCTTCGAAGCCACCCTCGCAAGATGGACCTGGTGGCAGGTCCTCTAACCCTATAGTAGATTACATCAGACGAGGACCGGTGAGTACATCGCGCGCAGCGCCAACGAACCCGATAAAGGAGCCGCAAATCGAGCTGAGAATGACGCCTTCGCAAAACGAGTCCGTGGTGTCTATCAACATGGACGAGGAGGCGGTGAAAGCAGCCGGTGGCAGCAAGGAGCAACTCTCGGTCGTGATTTCCTCGAGGAGGGACGCAACTGGCAGAGCGGAGCCGCGTCCAGACTTCAGTTCGATGCAGATATCCATCAGCGAGACTACGATACCGGTGAAGCAGATCGAGTTCTCCATCAACGGGAAGCCAGTGTCGGAGCTGAAGAGTATTATAGCTAGAGCGGACAGGCTGGACGTGCTCAGTTCGATGGACAAGGTGGAGATCAGGATCCCCTCGAGGAGTCCAAATACGGCGACTGAGCGGTCGACGAACGTCGTCGCGACGTCGTCGTCCAGCTCGAAGCCTGTGCTGAACTTGCAAATCGCTGCGAAATTCAACGAGCCACGGTTTGAACAGCCGCGAGACGCGGAGATGAAGACGGACCCCTCTCACATGCCACCGCCAACCGCACCTGTAACGCCTACGCCACCCACGCCACCAGCGCCTCCTGTGAAACCTCCCAGACCGCACAATCTTTTCATGCGAGAAGCGACTGAAAGCGGAGTGACAACGAACCAGGACGTGTCAGGCACGACGAACGCCTCGAGGGACGTCGCGACAGCTAAACAGGTCGAAAACAGCATTTCCCAGAGAAGTGTCGGCGCTTCATCGACACCGGGGGAGGAAAAGATCTCGAAGATCGTGAGCCCTAACGAGGCTGTCTTTCAGAACGACGGGAACACGCGGTCGAATTCCGACGAGAATGCATCGAGTCGCCAGCCTCAGCAGCCGGCGATGAACAACGAGGACAAGAATCGAACACCGTCGAACGCGATCCCCTGGTGGTCGTCCGAAGACTCGTTCAAGAAGATTAAAAAGAAGGGTAACACGCCGAAAGGCGCGTTGGAATCGAACGACACTGTTGCGTTAATTCCGGTGCAGGACAGTCCGAGCGTGAAGGACGAGGAGAAATTGACTACCGACTCTTCGAAGGTCGATCCGACGAAAGTTGACACTCGACGTAGTAGGGACATAGTACCAAAGAAACCGGTAGTTGAAGAGAAAAAGCGCGATCATCCTGATCCGATAGTTAATTACGTTCGAGCGAAAAGTTCGCCGCGATGGGTGCCCGTTAAACACGCCAGCGAGACGACGACAACAAGACCGAGAGACTCGAGTGGAGTGTTAAAGGGGCCGAGATACCGTGTCAGAAGCAACCTTCATGGTAGAGAAGTGACGGAAAAGGATTCTGACATGCCGACGATTTCCAGAGTTCGTTGCGCGCCGAAGGTTGTTAAATCCGTTCCCGCGATCCCGCGAGACGCAAACTCGGGTGCAAGATCTGTCGTCGAGAGCCAGAACATGGAAAACTTGAAGCCCGTGGCGAAGGCAAACGCGAAGATCGAGAAGCCAGTAGCGGTACGAGGGCCTGGCTCGCAGATCGGCAAGGCAAATGTACAGAATTCAAACACAATATACAAAAAGGAGGGAGAGTTAAGTGCTAACGAATCTGCTGATGTTTCAGCAAAAGGAGAGAAGAAACGGAGCGACACAGACGGGGCAGTTGAAAAGAATCTGCTGGTTAAACCGATTGACGAGGACCCGCGAATTAAGGAGATTCTAAAGTCGATGAAACCGATTGAGAAGAGAGAGGATGGCACGTTGATCGACTACGGCGTGATCGTGCCGTCGAGGAAACCATCGGGGAAGGTGACAGAGATTCCAAGAATCCAGGCGAAAGCCTCTGACGGAAACACCGTGACGAAGGAGCTTGTGCAGAGTCGAGAGAAGATCGTGGAGCCAGAGAAGATACGTTCTGTGAACAAACTAGCCTCGAAATTCGACGCCGCGAACATCGAGATAAAACACGAAACGAATAAACCAAGGACATTGACAAGTGAGAAGGCGATGAACGAGGAGAAGAAAAAGAAAGTTTTATCTAACTTTAAGAAGGATGATTTTATTAAGAAGGAGGAAAATAGAACTGAAAGTGCTTCTAACAGAGATCGACTGCACAAACGATTGATTTCAGCGGAAATTCCGGCGGAATCTTCTGTAGAAGGCACACGATCCAATAACGAGCCTTTGAAAACTGTACAGAAAAGCGGCGATACGAACGTTAAATCGTCACTCTTGGATAAATCGAAGAACACGCTTCCTGGAAGCTCCGTTACGCCAGACGAAACGAAAGCTTCCGAGAAGAAGGAACCAAAGAGTACTTTAAAATCGGTAGAGCAGAAGAAAGCATCATTAGAAACAACGATCGGCGGTCCCTCGAAGATCTCGGATGAAACAGCAAGCAACGTTCCACTGATGGGGACCATTAACTTCCCTGGTTCACAGAAATCAGGCGGCGACGCGGTGAAAAGCGATAACACGTTCTCGAAGGAATTACCTACTGGTGGTTCCAGGCAGAAACACCGAAAGAATACGAATGATACTGGCGTTTCGCCGTTTAAAGGGACGATTCAACTTCGACCTTCGGACAATTTGGTGAGGTTAACTGACATTGACAAGGAGAAAGTGAATCCAGAGTTGGTCGATCAGGGCGACAACTCTGCGAAGCCGAACGTGACGAAGAAACCATCGAACAAAGGAGGAGGTGGCACAGGTTCGAACAGTCCTGCTGCAATTTCTACAAAACCTACTAAACTGTCGACAGGCTCGAACGACTCAGAGCCACCGACTAGCCATTTGAAGGAAACATCGGGTCAAAGTATCGTAACGGAGGATAAAAATGGCAAGAAAGTCGGATCATACGAGAAGGAGAGACCTGAGAAAAGTATATTGTACTCGTCATGGTTGCAACGTTTCAAACAGAATTTCCACGGTGACAAGACGATTTGAAAGTTGGAGATGTTTTCATCGCTGAATGTGGTTTGGAAATTATTCCCTGGATTTATATCGGAGGATTTTGATTTACTTCGAACGCGATTGCATTTGATACGGTATGACAAGTATTTTTGTACATTTATTAACTTTCGTGCTTTATTGTATTTTATATCATTATTTTGTTATTATAGCAAGCTGTGTTAATATAGAAAAAAAATTGTCTATGATTTAAAATAAGTTTGTATTCATTGCTAAATACGGAATTGCATTATATATTTTCGATTTATATTTTAGATCGAGTTACTGACTAAAATGCGGTAGAATCATAGGCACATGATTTGTCAATTTAATTCCATGCTGTTATGGCTAAAATCAAGGTAGATTTTTCATTTTGAAGATCAATATATGAAATTATATATCTCATTTTTATTCGATATTAGACAAACTTAAAAGAATCTTGTTGAAATAAAATGAAATTTGAAATACAACGATCTCAAAAAGTATCTATCCACGCGTCATTTATTCAAGCAAAATATACTATATCTTCGCGTCTTCACTGTGCTTTTTACGTAAAACTGCTGCATACATAAAAATATGAAGATCATAATAAACTTAAAATACTCCTCCATAAAAGGAACTCTCCCGATATGCAAAGAACATTCGAACACCCACGAAGCGAAGCGACCGATTTAATCTTAATTAATCGACTGCCAAAAAAAAAAAAAAAAAAAAAAACGCCAACTTCTTTGCATGAACCGTTACGATCGCGTCGGGATCGAAAGCGTCCCGATGAAAAAAAGAGCGAGGTAATATCGGTGCTTTCTATCCTCGATCGATCACCTCCGCTCGCCAGTCAATTCCACTTACTTCATACGTCGTTCATACACGCAAGGATACCCACGCACACTCGCACGGTGGTTGGATCCACGTGCAATTTATCCGAGTGTGTACTCGCGTAATCGCGCTCCCTCGGATGGTTACAGGGGTAACAGAGAGTGACACGGCATGAGTTTTCAATGTTGCTTGCGCAAGAGTAATCGGCCAAGCTGTCCGCGAGTGTTTTACACAAGAAAGGGAACGAGAATGAAAGAGAGAAAGAGAGAGAGAAAGGGGGGGGCATGAGACCCTCAGGATTGGGTAATTAAAATTCTCATTAAAGCCAGCGGCGGCATCTTGAAACGCAACGCGGGACAATGGAGGCTGGATCGAGGCCGCGGGCCCTCGAGGATAAAATGGGCCCGGTGAGAGGAGCGGGGACCAAGAGAGGACAGACTGGCAAGAGGTAGAATGGAACGGAGCTAACAGGCCATGAAGAAAGAGGAAACCCGTGCTGGAGTCTCGTTTACAATCGAGGTATCTCGAGGAGCCGAAACGCAGAGTACAGCCGCCCCTCCTTCGTATCGAGCCTTGTTCTTCTGCACCTCATAAAATACCTGATGCGTTCGCGCATGCATCGCGATACACATTGCTTGACTCGGTGTTGGTTGACGTTTTTCTAACGGGTACGAATCGTTAACACAATGCATTTCGTTTTGTACAATCAGTTATTTTTTAATACAAGTAGTCTGTGATTCCAATATTTGACTGGAATCCCTCATTTTTCGGTTTCAAATATGCGAAATTTGATAGCCGCATATTTTGCAGACTGACTGTACATAGGAGTCAGTGTTCGCTATTTATTTTATTTCTCATTTGGTTTCTTATTTATTAACTATTTGTATTCATTTAAACATTCATTTATTTAATTATTATTGTATTCGATATTTCAGTCAAATATTGGAATCACAGACATCTTTCCAATCGTATAAAGCGATTCCACGCGACAGGCGGAGAATTACAATTAGTCGAGTCGCAGTAAAGATTTCTATTTAACGTCACAACTGTGATTTCACAGCTAAAAAGAACTAACGAACTTCTCTCAACATTCAATCGGCAACCATAAGACTTTCAAAAAGATAAGAAAACTTCTATAAATATCTCCGAATCGAATCATTCGTGCTCCGTGGCACGAAGGATCGCGATGGAACGTCGCGATCGCTTCGAAAGCATTTCGGTCGCGTTTGATCAAGGCAGCGAGCGTTACCGTGCCATTTCAATTCAGCAGTCGGTGCAGCAATCGGCGCATCGGCCGGCGATACCGGTCATTACTCGAATCTCGCGGCGGCCGCCAATTTTGGCCGTGCAACACGAAGCAGCTCGAGGCCGAAGCCTTTGTTGGGTGGAGCGGCGATCATCGAGGGCGCCGTTGGTTCGTGCCACGTCCCGAAACCCGTCATTACACACACGTTCTCTCGGCCGCGCGCATAAACCCGCGCAGGTTCTCGCAAGTTGCCAGTCATTCGAAGTAATGCGCCTGGACGGGCCGAGGTTGAGCGAAGCTTCCTCGATGCTTGCACGCTTCCTCAGCTTGCTGATCTCGTTGCGGAGCGCTGAGAAACTACCGACGATCACGCCAACGATCGCCAACCGGCCGATAGTCGACGAATTGAACCGATCGTTCCTCGTTAGCGGACGCGAAATCGTCGACTCGTCGCATCCCGCGGCTTGTTGAATAGCTGTCACGATAACGTGATGGATACGCCTCGATGGTGCAGGCATTTCATATTGTCGGTAGTAGGGAAGTTGGATCTGCGGTTTCACGAAGATTAGCGTGTCTTGCGGTTGAAGGAACGAAGTTTAGGGAGAGACGTAGACGGTCAT